TTGTTAAATATACTTTTTTATTTTTGTAAAGCATCAGCTTTTCTTATGCAAAAATTGAGTTTGAAATCTATATGAAAGCATGCTGAGAAGTCTATAAGTATTCCTCCAGGAGAAATCTGTATGATTGTGAGAAAGAAGACAGCTTATCTCTAAAATAGTGTGATCGTGTTATTTGCTTCTCCTGTTTTCTACTAAAATCTCTTAAAGCAAAATAGCTGTCCTGATCTGCAAAACATGATATTCTTTTCCAGTATCTGTAGTCAGCTTTTTCATGCTGCCTGATGTGGATATATTCTAATATGGAACTGGATATTGGTTCACTGAAACAGATAAATAAATAGTAGTCTTTATGACCTGCTGATTTATTATGGACCCTAAATTTCATTCAGGATCATGTGCTAATTTGCTTTGAGTGAACCTATGTAGTTTTCAAATTTGCTAGATTTGTAGTCTCTATTTAAAAACACATCATGACAGTTTTTATTCGACATGTCTAACTTTATTTCATGCATTTTGTCACTTTTTAATTTATGAAACTTGCAAAAACTTATCATTAGGAATGTAATTGTCTGTCTTTGCAGGCAGTGCTTTCATGGGCTAAAACACTATATCATTACAGAGGTTATCCTGGGATGGAATGAATGTTGGGAGGAAGGAGACACAGAGCAAGTTTCTCAAGGGAAAGATAACAGTATAAAAGACAGAAAGAAAAAGAAACTATTTGTAAATGAAATTAGAAATTCAATTGAAATAATTGAAAGATAAATTTTCAAAGAATAATAAATGAGCAGAAAAAGATCTGGACAAGGAATACATGTCTCTATTTGAGATTACACTAAATTGTTAAATTTTCTTTTTTCTTACACTGCTGTGTACACACTTCTTGAAACAACTGGATTTGCTTTTAGGAGCTGAACAACCTGGTCTTGGTCTGTAACTTAGAAAGCAGGACAGTGAGTGAAAAGTTTTCTAACAACTATTTTTGTTCTATCCACTTAGTCAGCAAAAAGAGCCTCAATTTAAGACTGCAGTATGTACTAAAATAATGTGTACATCCACATGAATGACCTCCCAGGATTTAATGCTTCTTCTTGCTTATATATAGATGTGTAAGGACCCTGGCACTGTGCTCAGCATTTATCTATCACAACATGTGCTGTAGAAGTAAGGAAGTGTTTTCTCTATGACTGAAATGCTTCATTTGATGCAAATGTGTTTGTTTGATTTTTTTAAAAAGCTTGAAAAATTTTGAAAATGAGTTGGAATTTGAATCTATGCACTCAGCCCCCTACCTCAACCCCCAAGGAAAAGCTCACCTCAGCAGTTGTTCTTCTAGCATGGATGTTGTTGTTGTTGTTGTTGTTGTTGTTGTTTTGGTTTGGTTTTTGGGAGGGGTGGTTTATGTTACTTTTTTATTTATTTATAATCTGTCACATTTCTTGAATATGAAGCAGGTGCTTGCAGTAGACAGGTAGATTTGATTAGTTAAGCAGTGTCTGTTATACAGAACAAAAGCTTTTCGCTGTACAGAAAGCATTATAGGATCCAGCCCTAGATCCCTTCAAACCTGTGAATTTGTCAGTGGCTTCTGTGGATATTGGCTGATGAGAAACAGGGCAATGTGAATACTCTGCTGCCCTGCTTTCCCAGTTTTGTTGCTTTGTGCCTGGAAGTCAGTAATGTATTCTGCATCGCTGCAGGAATTTTTGCCGAAGATGCTCTTTTGAATATACATCCCAATGTTCGTTCTTGCATTAAAATATTTCCTTAGGCAAGTGCGAGGCTACCAAACTGTGCTGAAGAGATTCTGTGGTGTTATCACTACAGAGTGCATCATTCACGTTCAGATGGGACAGATGGTGCTGATTAGCTCTGGGACCTATGATCCAGTTTATTTGATATTTATTTTTTACAAGATCTTTGCAGTGCCTAGAAGGACATGTCTCATAATCTCACGTCTTTCTTTTTAGTTGAACACTATTGAACAGGGCCACATACACAATTGAAGTGTCAGGAGTTCCTGTTTCCAAAATATATTTCAAGCAGCAAACCACATGATTTAAAATCATCAAAGTAATTGTGTTTACCATGCATCATTTGATTAAAAATCAAATTAACCATGGACAGGCTTTACCTGTTTCTATAACCCAGGACTGCTCTCTTCTCAGCTTCTTTACCCGGTCACCTCCTGGTTAAAAGTTCTTACATGACTGTTTCATAACTAGATAAAAACTTTAATTTCCAGAGTGATTTTGCAGAGAGGCAAAGCAATTTTAGTCCTGTACTAGATGCATAAAACTATGTAAGTGGTTTCTAAATAGTTTTCTTTTTAGTCAGGTAGAATGATTACATTTGTTGTCGTGTGATGCAAGTTGTTAATATCTAAATCTAATGTTCTTTGTTTTAGAGAAACTGATTTCAGTTGTATCCTAGAAAGGCACGAGAGACATTCTGCAAACCTTTTTGAACAGTGTGGGTTCGCTTCTAATGCACTGAAAAATAAAAACGTTAGCTCATATTTTTAAATATTCTCTAAAGGCAAATTTAAAACTGCCTCGTTGCAAAACACTCACAGTGGGTTTTGTATTTTAGTAGCATTCCTGTATCATATTTTAGGGAAGAAAATATTTTTTTTGTTTATATTTTAGGCTGTTGTTTTAAGGAGTAGCATATAAACAGGACATAAACAAAAACCCCACAATTACTTATTCAATGAGATATTCCCTTATCAATTAGGAATGTATAGAATTATTTGTGTACAGTTAGAATTTATTCTATACGTATCCATGCACATCTGTATACATAAGTGTGTGGAGTAATTCAGCAAACAAAAGCTAGCAAAGGAAACCTACTTTAGGTCACAGGGGAGGCGAGTAATCAGATTTGCAGGTTATTTGATAGCTACGAGAAGCACGATAATTGAAAACTGGTCAGAGAGAGCTTTTCCTCCTATCTGATAATAACTGTCAAAGCGTAGCCATAAAACAGTTTCATTAGTGTTCAGGGCTCTCTCGCTGGATCATTTTAATGCACTGTGCGAGGCCTGCAGTATGCCCATGCACATGAGCTATGCGAGGCCGTGGCGGGAGGTAGGCTTGCGGCGGCCTGGCATGCCCCCGCGTCACCTAGCCGCCCTCGTGCTTTATGAGCTGCAAAGGTGTAAGAGGTTTTTGCTGCTCATGGATATGCTTTTTTAGCTTGTCTCTATCATTACGGTATATTTAAGGAAGTTTTAAGTAGTTATTATTTTTGAGGGTTATTTAAAAAAAAAAAAACAACTTTTTTTTTTTCCATTTTACTAAACCCAGATGGGTGTTGATGGTGTAGACTAAATATGCCATTAATGGTTTCGGGTGGTGTTGCCTATGCGTGGTTGCAGTGGTACAGTCCGCTGTTCCTAGGGCATGTGATTTCTGCTTTACAGGTCAGTGCTCTTTTCATTGCCCTAATTAGATTAAGTCCAAAAATATAGTGTTCTACAAAGACAAAAAATAGAAGAAATCTTGTTGTTCAGTCAGCTCAGACCCAGCAAATCGCACAGCACTTTTTTTCATCTGGTTAGCTGATAGCATGGTAATATATTGCAGGCAGTTTCCCTAAAACACAACTTTTAGAATTTGGTATAAACATTCTGTAGGCAAGGATGAGAAAAGTCTCTTGCTAAGAAAGAAACTGAGGGAACCTTGAATTCTGGTTGCTGATCCCATAGGATAGTTGGCTGTGTGTTTGACGTTGGAAGTTCCTCATGCTGTAGGAGCTAGTGGTAAATAGGAAGGGGCCTTTGCCTGGGTCTCAAAGTATGTGGGCAGCCTTCGTGGGCAGCACTCTCCTGAGGTGACAAGGGCTCTATGGGGGGCTTTCGTGACTGCTGTGGTCGTCCGTGGGCAGTGGTGCGACCTGGGCCCTGGTGAGGGGGCTGAGCCACAGCCCTTGTGCTCCTTCATTTGCAGCCATTGGCTCGAGGGGCACTGAAGGGGAGACTCCAGAGGGCAAACATTGTTTTATTGGCAGTGGTGTTTCAGAAATGCACTGAACACATTAGGGCTGCTTGTTTCCCTTCTAAATAGTGGCTACCTTTGCATGAGTATCTATCAGCAAACGTTTCAACCTCTTGTAAGCTGGTATTTCTTTCCAGGGACCTTGCCAAAACACAAATCTGTGCTGAGGCAGCACAAATCTAATTAGCTAAGACTGACTTCATTTTCTAATTGTAGAAGTTCTGTCAAGTGTATTTAATGCTGAGATATAGCCAGCCTAGCAATGGCAAATTGCAGTGACCAGAAAACAGCACAGTTCCAAAAATGTCATCATCTAGAAAACTGGTATGAGGATAGCCTGGCTCTGCCACCCATTGCGTTAGCGTGGTGATGGCAAGATCGGTACTTCTGAACCTGCGCGAATAGATCAGCAAAATGTATAGAGTGGACTCAGTTTCTGCTTTTAATTTGGTATCTTCCAGGAGGCTTTGTGGTATGTTAGTGTAGTTACGCTGGACGGGTGTAAGCATGTGCCATAAAGCATGGTTCAAGTTTCCTAAGATGGAGAATGGGCCAAGTCCAGTCTGTGCAGTCATCATCCTGCTTGGTAGTTGGAAATGAATAGTCTGCTGAAGCTTCCTGAAACGCCAAGTGATTTGTGAATTTATCCTTTCCCTCTTTTTACTGCACAAACACAGCTCTGAGGAAATGATGCCATCCTTTATTCATAGATGACTTTGTTTGCAAGGTGACAGGAAAAAAAAAAGTTGCAGAAATGAAAAGCTGTATTTTGGCAAAGCATTCAAAAGACATCTGATCAGCCTAATCATTTTTTGCAACAATTGGCTTGCTTGCTATTTGGGGAGTGGGTAATTGCAGCAGTGTATAGAACACAGTTTTTAATGTTAAAATACAGCTATGTGGAAAAGCAGGTGTTTGTGAAAATGAGTAAACAGTAACCTTACGTTATTTTTGTCTAGACAGTAGCCTTATTTTAGATGAAGATAATGTTCCTTAGTTGTAATGTATTATGATCCCTCCTTTTTTTTTTTTCTTGTTATAGGATCTGTGTTTACACTAAAAGTTCAAGTAAACGACATCATCAGTCATCAGTTCCTGCAACAAGCAACTGTAGAGGTGTTTGTTAATTACACGAAGACAAATTCTACTCTTACTGGAAGCAATGGAGCAGTATTAATAAAGGTTCCCTATAAATTAGGATTAAGTTTAACTATTGCATCATACAAGGATGGCTACGTGTTAACATCTTTACCTTGGAAGACTGGGAAAATGCCAAGTGTGTATGCCTCTTACAGTCCCATTATTAACCTTTATCTGTAGGTGATAGAAATGTTTCTCTTCAGCAGTTTGTCTATTAATGTTGACTGAAAATGATAGAGTAAAATTAGTTTAAGGAGATTTTGCCTGCCAGTGCAGATGAGAGTGCCAAATCTGTTAGGTTTCTCAAAATTTGTTTTTAATGTAAAAGCTGAAAACATTCCTGTCTAAGTAGGTTATATTGCTGTACCATGAGAGTTTTCAGAGAAGTTGTTTATCGACTTAATACAGGGCTGGCTCTGTGTTTTTACTTTATCAAAAGTCATATTTTCTCTATTGATTCCTGGATGTCTTAGCTCAGCTATCGCTCTGGGTGCTTTTGCCTGTTGTTACAGGTCCCCTTCAGCAGTGTTTCCTCACAAGTCTTCCTGTATACAACAATTTCACTTTGTTTTTGAAAAATACTTTTGTAATTCTGAAGAAGAGAGCAGTGAGGTGGGCTATCTATAATATTCTAGCCGCTTCTTTCTCAAGGGAAAACAATAGTGCCATGTTGATCTCCCTGTCTAACCAATGTAACTTATGCTTTGGACTAGAGGAGTTACTTATTTATCCGGTCTTTAGAGACTTTTATCTTTTTGTCTGCTTTCTTCATTCTTTCACAATCATGCAACCTTCTAGAAGATTTTGAGATGCTTGCACAGTGATGTAACATAATGTTATCGTTTTCCACAGTATACTCGTCTGTGACACTTTCACTATTCCCACAAAGTCAAGCTAATATATGGCTGTTTGAAGATACTGTTTTAATTACTGGAAAATTGTCTGGTAAGTTCAGTACATGCAGACTGTACTCTAAACACTTTGTATGTGTGCACATTTCCTTAAAAATAACTTACTGAAACCAATTGATATTCTCTAACAAGGGTAACTTTGTCAACCTTTGTAATCCTGTGTGGAAAGTAAAGGTTACTTAACCAGTGGCTTTTTGAGCTATCTTTTCCACAAGAAAAAATAGATATCACCTACCTGCTCTAGGCCAGATTTTCAGTTAACTCTGTGGTATGACTGATACAAAACTAGAAATTTAAAGCATCTGGAGAAAGTTTGTTAAGGAAAAAATCATGTGTTCAATGTATTTCAGAACAGTGATAAAAACACTGGTTGTCTTTTTACCATCACTATGTCAAAATATTGCTCTCTTTCAGATGCCAAATCTCAACCAAGTGTTCAGTTTGCAAAGTTTTTAATAAAACTTCCAACAGATTACCATTTTACAAATGTTACAGCCTACCTGACAGTGCCAGAGCAATTTTTAAAAGTGGATGGCTTTTTCTACACAACAGGAATTCTTCTAAACAAGTCAGGTATAGTAGAAGTCTTATTTAAGATTTTTAGTGTGTAAATTGGGGGAATTTGAAGAAGATAGCAGAAATGCAGCAATTCACTTTGGATTTTTTTCTCCATTTTCACTAGAATTCTTTGATCTGGCTTTAGGAGTTTTACACCTAGCATAAATATTGTACAAAGGCTGTAATTTGGCTCGCTGACAGTTCACCTCTGTAAGCTTGTTTAAGCATGGTATGTTTTCTACACACCTGTTTACTGAAGATGATGCAAATGTTTGAGTCACCATAACTCTGTGCTTACGCAGTTGGACCTTTTAATATAAAAATATAACATACTTTTTTAATATAGTGATAGAATAGCATATTTTCTCATGGATATTTTTGATCTGGATAAATATAATAATGTCTGGAAAATCATACTGTATATGGTTCCATTTCCCATTGTTATTTTCTTTCTAGTGTGAAAGGACCCAGAGCCATGAGACTTTTAAAAAATTTTTGTTTCAACATGCGATGAAGCATCTAGTTAATTCATGTGAACTTTGCATGCTCTCTTTAATTTTCATTGAGTTAAAATCATCACATATACTGTTATTTCCACTTACATACATACGCACAGTACCTTTAGGTGTTTCACCTCTTTAAAGCATGAGATAATAATAATTTTCTTTTCCAGTTTTTCTTTCACATCTGTCTGGCATGTGTGTTAAATTATTCATGCACTCCTAAAGGAATAGGCTTCCTTCTAGGGCCAGTAGAAGCTAATTGGTATCTGAACAGTTTTTTCTCCAGCAACTTCCAAGAGCTTGCATAGATTTAACATTATTCTGATACTTAATAATTCTGTTTCAGCTTCTCTTCACCATCCTGTCACACTGTGGCTTCTGAAGTGTTTGCAAATTAGTGTAAGGAAAACAAAGGAAACAAAGTTTCACGCTGCACTACTGTAAATTCTTGTATGTGCAGAGTTTCCTCTGAGTGCTTTGACAAGTCTTGTGATTAACTATTCAGTTAACTTTCTAAGTTGGTGGTTAAAACTAATCCTTACAGAAAAGTTCATTGAGAACTATCTGACTAGGGGAAATGTAGCAGCTGTATTTTTGCAGCATATCTTCAGTTTTTGTTATATATACTGTAAACTACAATTACACAAACATTCATATGTTATCTGTACTTCACATACGTAGTTTTAATGTGTGTCCTAAGTTGTCTGAAGGGAAAATCCTTTCCTCCTCCTACCCCTGCCATCCGATTTTGCTGACTGATTCAGCTGTGTTGAACCCATACGTCAAAGGTCTTTATCTTTTTACCAATTTAGCAATGACTAAATATACTTTTATCACAAAATTTAGAAGAAGAAAAGTTTTTTCAAAACTTGAAAGAAGTTTGATCAAGTTTAAGTGATGTTTAACTGTGTAACTGGTCCTATGAGAGCTTTCCTTTAGTTATAATGAGGATTGATTCTGTATTTATTTTTAAGAGCAACACTATGAAAGGAGTACTACAGACAAAATTTTTGTTTATATTTAGGTTTCAGAGGCATTGAACTGTCACCCCTTGCTGCAATATGTGTAAATGTTCTTTTGGCTGGGAAAGAACTGAAAGTCAACGGTCCTATTCATATTACACTTCCTCTTCCTACAAGTAGTGTAAAATCAGGAGATGCTATTCCTGCATGGACATTTGATATGAAAACTGGTAAGTGAGCAAAGTTATTGGTTGTTTCACATGGCATCACAGAGAGGCAGATTAGAGTGTAAAGCAGGCAGCGCTAGGTGGGGTGTGTGCGTGGGGGAAAGTAGGCATGTGGGCACTGGGACTGGGTGAGAGGAAGAGCATGGCAAACTAACCCACCACAACCAATGGCTTTTGCTCTTGTTTGGGGGATGTTCTCCGATAGAGGTGACTGTTTATGGAGGGTGTGTAGCAAGGTGTAGCATGTGCAGAGCCTTGGCCCTGCACTGCCACTTTATGAGGAGGGAACACAGTCCTGCGGATTAGGAGAGAGACGTTTCCAATGTAACTTGAACTAACTTCCTCATTTTCTTCCACTTCCCCACATTTGCTCTCTAGGCAACATTCACATTTCTGTTCAGTTTTGCATGCTTATTCTTAAATGCTCTTACTTTTATTTTATGTTTAACTTGAAATGGTAACGGAGTGGTGGCTCCATGCTGTTGGCGTGCAGCAAGGTGTTGATAGGCACTTTTGAACTCTGAAGTCATTGAGTAGTAAGTTATAGGAGTAACCAGACCTTCCACATCAGTACTGATCAGGAAACTGGTCTGTTTCATGTTATTATGCAGTTTTGGTCAATGTGCACCAGAAAAAGGACAGAAACTGCTTTCATACATCTACATGTGCAGTGCTCCACAGTGCTACTCTAAAGGCAGCATTTGTTCATAAATGCTGAAGGTTGTGTATCAATTGATTCTTACTAAGCAATTTGGATTTTAATAGATCTAAAAAAAAAGTTTGCATTGCAACATGAAATTTAGGGTGACATCTTTATGAATAATGTCCTTTAGAATTAAAAGACAGTAAAACAGAGACTATGTGCTCACTCATATTCTTAATGTGTGCTGTTTTCTGTCAAGTATTTGGGGGGAGATATAGCTTGAGCACTTCATAGAAGCATAAAATCATTATGATTGGAAAAGACCTTCAAGCTCATCGAGAAGGCAATGGAGATTATATAACTTCACTATTTTTCACAACAACTCATGCAGTATCACAAATGGTGCACATCCAGTGTGTTAAGCGTGGTTTTGTCTTCTCTACTGCATGCTGTATTAATTGCAGAAGCTGCCTTGCCACCAAGCCTGCCTCCTGCATTGCCAGGCAGGTCATGTGCAATCCATGGCCTAGCAGCCCTTCCCTGCTCCCATGGAGCTGCCACTGTGTTGGGGTAAAAGTGAGGAGAGCTGTTCAGGGCAGGCCTTGTTTATCCTACTGCAGTTTTTTAGATTATTTTGCTTGTCCACTAAGTGCTCCTAGCTAGTGTTAAACTTCTGGTCATTTGCTTAAATTACCTGTTCCTTGATTTAGGCTTGGCCTCCATACATGCTTAAGCTTATATAATAGAATTTCTTTTTTTTTTTTTTTTTTTTCCCAGATGATTGTGTGCATACTGAAAGATATTTGTTACAAGGAAATGAGTTATATGAAATTAGTTAAAGCAACTAATAATGGTATTTATTTTTGTTTCAAAGTAAATGTTGACATGATATTTGCATGAAATTGTCAAGAGAGAAAGTTGCATGTTTAAAATTTTACAATATAGAGCATACTAGATAATTTTCCATTTGCTTCTTGTGACCTCAGGTATTTCTGATTATTTAAATTAAATTGCTGATGGTTTTAGCTATAGAGGAATGCTACACAGCATGTGTAATACTGCCTTTTTGCAGGTGCTTGGGTAAACCGCGGGCTGGGAATGGTAAAGGAAGCAAATCACCAATTAGTATGGACCTATGTTGCCCCACACTTGGGCTACTGGATAGCAGCTCCACTGCCTGGAACAAGAGGTATTGCAAGCAACTAGAAAAGAAACTACTGAATAACCCAAATAATGATGTATTGTATCAGGCAACAAATGGTTTCCTTTAACAATAGAAAGAGAAAAATGAGATACACTTTCAGCATAGCTTGGTCCCAGTAAATGTCCTGTTATTTAGATCTGCTGCATGGTTGGATTTTGCTAATTCATATACAAAAAAAAATTCATATGAGATTCTTGCAGGAGTTATGTGATGTCAAAATTGAATACTGGCTCTAGACAAAACAGAAGCACTAAACAGAAGATATAGAGCATACTTTTAAATAAGTTTGGAAATCTAATTCCAGTGTAACTTGACTGGAATTGAGGTGATGTTATGGCAGTGCTTCAGTGTTTGAGATGAATCCTTGAAAGTCCATTACATGTAACTGCAGCCTGTGTATTTCTTAAGCTTGCTGAGACAGCAAGGTGAAAAGGGATGGAATGAAATAGTGTTATAAGAGCACAAAATTACTGGAAAAGTGTGGTGTAATTTGTCAGACAGCTGTACACACCAAGCAAAATTCTTTGGTTTCTGAAAGCTAATTCTTATCTGGTTTTGTCTTTGAAAATCTAGAATCCATTATTAGTGCAGTTTCCAAGGACATAACAGCCTATCACACGGTGTTCCTTACAGCCATTTTGGGAGGTACTGTTGTCATTATCATTGGATTTTTTGCTGTTCTTCTTTGTTACTGCAGGTAAGTAAGAACTAAGTTGTAATAAGTTCAGCATGAATGGCATTCAAGGAAAATAAGTAGCCTCTTCTACTTGAGAGTTGTTTCCTCAGCATTATTCAAAACAGTGTTTGCTCACTTAATGCATTAAACTGTAAGGTAGCATAATCTGTGTTTCTTTAATAATCTTGCTGATTTGCAAAACTTAATTTTAAGTTTGTGACATCATATTTCACTAGTATGATGTGACTGGTAACTTCGTACTAGTTACTTGTCTGAAGTAACTAGTTACTTCAGTTATTTATCTCCTGGTAGTAGTTCCTCTACTAGTAACTTCTACTAGCAACTAGCAAAATCTAGTGTTCAAGGGAACACTGTTCTAGTGAACAGTGTAGTATTTGCTAGCATGCTGTACAGTTATCTTGCATTTCTTTTGCATAGGGACAAATGTGGTCACCAACAAAAGAAGGAAAAAAATACAGCTAGGCTGGAGATTATAAAAAAAGACCAGACGACATCAACAACTCACATAAGTCATGCCAGTCTTGTCAAGGGGTCTGTAAAACTAGAGGATAACTCACAATTATATGCACCGAAGATTTCTTCTTACAGCCCTCAAAGACAGACATCTGCAGAAACAGAAGATGGAAAATCACGGGACAATTTTAAAATCTACACAGAGGATTCTTCTTATCAGTCAACCTGCCAGACTGGTCAGTTGAGAAATTCAACCCATTCCATGGAGGCTAATGCTGGAGTTAGACACTTCCAGCAGCCAAAGCATGTTAACATTTCCCAGGCTGCAAGGGACATTCAAGACCCAAATAGATACCTTCCACTGAAAGAGGAAATGTATGGCCTTTCCCATATCCCCGAGCATCTAATGCATATTTACAATCAACCGATCGCTATTCTTCAAACTTCTGACCTTTTCCACTCACCAGAACAATTGCATGCTGCTAAGTCAGCAACTTTGCCAAGAAAAGGGCAGTTGGTATATAGCCCCATGATGGAACCCATGAGTCGAGACAGCTACATGCAAACACTACCCAAAATGCCAGGACACTCCCATCCACAGCCTTCTGCCTGCAGGGATGAACCAAGTACATTAGACGGTGAACAGGGCCTACCCTCTCAAACATCAAACTGGAGCCGGTACACTAACAGTTTGCTGGAATCTGTCTCTGTTCCTGGCACACTGAATGAAGCTGTTGTAATGACTCCATTTTCATCCGAACTTCAAGGTATTTCAGAACAAACATTGCTGGAACTCTCTAGAGGAAAACCATCCCCACACCCTCGAGCATGGTTTGTGTCCCTAGATGGTAAACCAATAGCTCAGGTGAGGCATTCCTTTATAGATCTGAAAAAGGGCAGAAAGACAGAGAGCAATGATACTAGTCTGGACTCTGGCGTGGACATGAATGAGCATCATCCTGGTAAGAAACTGGAAAGAGAGAAAACTTTCATTAAAAGCATGCCTCATTCTAAGATCCTTTACTTGGAAGATCTGGATTTGAGTAGCAGTGAAAGCGGGACCACTGTTTGCACTCCAGAGGACCAGGCTGTGAGGCACATTCTGGATGGAGGAAATGGGCCTGACACAGAACAACACCATGAGGAAAGTCTGAGAAGAAAAGCTGTAATAGGAAATCGTGAGTCTAACATCCCTCTGGCGAAAAAAAGGGAGAGACCATCTATCACAAAAAGAGATAGCCAAACCAATATCTGGAAGAAGAGAGAGGAGAGACCACTTATTCCTATAAATTAAAACACATGTGCTTTGTGGTGTTGCTCTTCCTGCTGGTTAATGCCCTCTGGGTTTCATGTATCACTTTGCAGTGCTGGGTTGACAATAGAAGCATTGTTTCCTAGTGTCAAGAAAAGTTACCTTTTTTTAATATGCAGACTGAGTTACTATAACTTCAACCGAGCAATTGATATTCAATGTGATTTGTTAATAGAGAAACTTTATGGTTAAAATTTTCCAGTTCCTAATTTTGGTGTCAGTGTAGGGAAGAGATACAGTTTAATTAGCCTGTTGCTCTTGGATGCATCTCTCAGAATGCACAGTGAGAAACGTAGGCACATCTTTTTTTTTTTTTTTTAATACTTGTTGCTAATGTGTTGGTAGGGTGGTTAATGCCATTCCCCAGCCTTGTTCCTAATAAATGTGACCATCTGTACAGTATTTTATATGTAACCTTTTGTAGGAATATGTCACTACTACTTTGTACAAAGTTTCATAAATTAGTCTCAAGACACCAGCAGATGAGCTCTGTTGAATTTATCCGCAAGCTCCATGGCAGTGCTGCCCTCTCGCTGTATGCCTGGCAGAAGATACGAAGTGTACGAGTTCTGTGGCCTCTCTCTCCCCAGTCCCTGCTGTCTTAACTTCAGCCATTATCCGTTTCAGTTTAACCTGCTTTGTTGTGAATGGTGGATGTTGAAGACCAGCGCCTGCTGTAAAGTGTCTGCCTCCACAGAAGAGGACTGGTGCTGATAGCATTTTAAGCTGCTGCTGTTACTGCTGCTTCCAGTAGGCTTGTTTTGACTTCATTATCAAAAATAATCTTCTCTTCTGCATGCTGTGGAGCCAGCTGTGCTCTGAATCATAGTCTTTTACTCCCATCTGGCCCATAATGAAAAAGTATGCAAGTTTAGACAAATTGTGCTTTTTAAGATCATCAGAGATGATCAGAAATTTATTTGCCTACATTTTGCCAGCCTGAGCTATTTTTTGTTGTAGGCTGTGTGTCACAGAGGGGTTAAGACTTCAACAATTTTTTTTTTCATGAGCATGAGGAAGCGGATCTCAAAACTTTGTCTGTATACAATATAAATATTATGACTCATCTTGGAGTTAAATTTTTTCCAAAAGTCATGAATGCATGATATGTAACAAAGGTATGTATAGAGGAAGGAAAAGGCCATCAGAATATTCTTTATTTTTAATGTTCATCTTGTCAAAGTGATAGATTCAACTTTGGCTAACAGAAAAGTAGATGCGCTCCTTAGTGTTCTTCGTATAGTAGACCACATATCTGGGACTTTTGGGCTACTTCCCTGGTGAAGTAAGTCCCAGCATTTGGTGTTTGGCAGATGGATTATAAATCCTTTAGAAACTTTAGAAAATATTTCTTATATGGCCTGCAGTATTTAGGATTCTATCCTGAGACCCAAACATATGATGCCTGTTCCTAAATTGAGGAGTCAGGTGCACTCCGTGGTCTGCCCGGCAGTCCCTGCCCCCTTATTCACCAGGGCACTCTCTGTGTCCACACTTCAGGATTTCTTTCCACAGAAAAATAGGCTGTGCAAGGAGAAGGTGACTATCTCGATCCAGCCCAGACCTGCAGTCAGAATGTGGCCAAGGGTGGCCCCCAAGAGGAGGAAATACCGTATGCAGCTGGTGGCCCCTGAATCTCTTGCTCAGGAAATGCTACTGCTACAGAGGTCTTTTCTGCTGGAGGTGTCTGGCACTGCTCCTAGAATGTGCAGAGTCAGCTGAACAGTAGCGGCAAGACATCCATGTCCCTGCCTTTCTTCCGACATGCAGTTGCTTCAGGAACAAAATACGATATTCCTGATGAATTCACAAAGGTGAAGCTGCTGCAAAGTAAGTTTGAGAGGTGTGTAACTAAATAGGTAATTTTGTTTTGCCAAAAAAAAAAAAAATCTAGTTTAGTTATACAATCCATCTTCAGAGGTGAAGATGGCTTGCTGTATTACCATGCCTTTGGTACTGGTTTTTAGGTAACTCATTCTTCAACAAAATATGTTTTTTCAATAGATATTCAGTTCCATTGGATTTTATTTATGATATAATTTAGAGTCTCTTAGAGTGGTGTTTTTATCCTTTATTTTGTTACATATATTAGGAGTCCGTTCAAATTTGAGCATAGTCTCAGAGATAATTTGACATTGCCCTGCTCTTAGAATTGTATCACTTCTGAGGAGACCCTTTTCAAAAAAAGGAATCCTATCTATTCTTCAAAAAAAAAAAAACAGAAAATTATTGTCAAGCCAAGAGATTTTGAGATACTAGTCAATCTTAAATGGATCTGTCTCTATTTTTGTTCACTCACAGCAATGGAAATACCCTGCAGATTACATGTGCTTATAATGTGATTTTTCATTATATAAACCAAAAAGAGGTAATTCCTCAAACTCACTTCTGTCTTTAAAAAATGAGGGCAACAGTAAAAGGCTTTCATAACTGTAAGTTCAAAAGAATGAAGTTTTGCACTCCATGTACCTATTTTGCATCAGAGTAGGTATGTGTTCACCAAAGAAGGATTGGAAATGTTGGAAAGCTCAGCTGCAGGAGGAGCACATGAGAAAGTGCCATGCCTGGAGATGCGCTCCATGGGGCAGGTGCCTGGCACGGAGCAGAGTGGCCGTCAAGCTTGCGCCCTCTGTCTCCCCAAGCTTTTGGCTGTCTGCGTTCAGTCACGTTTGACCCCGTGCAGATGGTGGTACGAAATGTGCCCTTTAAAGGTCATGGGTAAATAAGGGACACTCCAGCTTTTAGCCAACCCTGAAAGTCAGAAAGAAATGGACCTTACAAGAGCTGCTTGCTGCTAGGCTTCTCAGAAGGAGGATAAAAAATAAAGTAAGGCTTTCTGAAAAACAGGCATCTCCAGACATCTGTAGGAATGACCACTCTGTACATAACGCGCGTGTGCCGGCAGGTTCTGAAGGAGCGTCAGCGTTGGGCTTTGCAGCACGCCTCGTGTCAGGGCCTTGCCTGGGGGTTTTTATCTCTGCTCGAGCATTGCGTCTCCCTTATCTAATGTGGACGCGAGCATTTCTTTTAGTGAAGCAGTTAAACTGCACAGGGATTAAATTCTCTAGTAGCTAATTTCTGGGAAGTGTACGCAAGGCTGCCTTCGTTGCTAGTGGTTGCTTCTGCTTAGGTTGGTCAAGCAACAACTGTATTTGCTTTCCTTGTAGATCCCATTCGCTACCTCTTCTGTGTGAAATTCAATAGTTTGCCACATCATGTCTTATGCTGGTAGTATCTAGCTCTACATAAAGTCTAGTTCTGTATTTAAAGCAAATACACATACCACGTTCTCTGTGTCAGAATAAGGGAAATTTGTCTGTAGAGCAGAATTACTGGCTACAGTTGTATCTGGGAGGACAAATGCTGTGTGAAAACAGTTGAAACCCCTAAGCACATGATGACAAGGAATTCTTCCTTGACCTTATCATGAACATAAAAGCTTTCATTTCAAAAATCTCTATATAATTGTAAAAAAGAAAAAAAAATTACTTCAGATTTATATTCCATGTTTATAAAGTATGTTGTTTTAGTCTTCATGTTCCAACTGTATGTCACAATTTGTGCACCGGAAACCTATGTTAGCCCTTAGTGACAGGAATTCTTTTGGTATTTACATCCATTAAAAGAGGAGCTTAAGACAACACTGTGTCCTAAAAACATTAATTTCAGAGATGCCGTACATGATGTGTATGTAGGTAGAAAAAACATCACTATGAAATTTCTCTTTGTGGTCATACTTGTGTTCATCTGTATTTCTATATATAGCATCTGCATGATTTCTATATAAGAATCTAGATGAATCATAGAACAGATCTTTTCTGCTGGCTCCATATTTTGACACTAATGCAGGGCTAAAATGCCAGCACTAAAATTATGCCTATACAAGAAGGAGTAGTATGTCTATACAGGAAGTAGATTCATGACAAACTGTTCCTGGAAAGACCACAGAACCACTCGGAGGCTGTGATTTTTTCTGAAGCGGGAGGTCGATTGCCTTGCCAACAAGAGCAGAAGTGCAGCATGACTGAGGTTGTGAGCACAGACCTCCTCTGGGGAGAGAGGGATGGAGCGTGGCGGGGAATACAGGGCACTGCTTCTTTCTGATGCTTATTTTCAAACTGTTACTAGTGCTTCAGTGGAATTGATTCTTAAAGAACACAAACATTTGTGAGCATTGTGTCTTGATCCTTCACATGATGCTTTTTGCACCATCATGTCTTGAAAAAATGTCACCTTTCATTTGGAACTGTGCATGTGTGTATATATGAAGATGTATATACAGAACACTCGAGACCAAATTTGTCTCATGTTTAAGATGAAAGGTGGTTCATAAACCTGAGGGCGCTTTCCCCACTGTGGTTACAATGCACAGTGTTGCCCAAGTGCGGTACCGGTTCTAGGTCCTACCCAGTGCTGATAAGGTGGCAGATGGATTTAGCCAAGGCCTGTTGATACAAAACAATCCTGGTTCAGATCAGTTCCTTGGTGTATCCTAAATCAACAAGAGTGATCAAATTAAACAATATACAGCTTCATGCACATGAATCTTGTCACGTTCTCTAGATTAAGCCAATCAGAAGTAGTTTACAGGTTTCTATCAAATGCCAGGTATTACAGAATTCAAAAAAAAATCAAACAATCTATTTATTGAGCACTGGAACAGGCTGCCCAGAGAGGTTGTAGAGTCTCCTTCTCTGGAGATCTTCAAAACCCGCTTGGACGCAGTCCTGTGCCACGTGCTCTAGGTGACCCTGCGTGTGCAGGGGGGTTGGACTAGATGATCTCTAGAGGTCCCTTCCAACCTTAAGCATTCTATGATTCTATTTGATTGAAAAGAAAAATCTGTATAGAAATAATGGAGAACCTTATGTTTGCTATCATACAAACCTGAAAGCACAAATGGATTTGATGATTAGAGATACAATTTACCAATGCCCATCTAAAAAAGATGATGCACAGAAAATAATCTGTGATGTAGGAATGAAAACATTTAGTTGTTTGCT